TTAACTGCTGCCCGTTTGCTGATAGCTCAAAATTGGAAGAGTAAAGTTTTACCTACAATGGAGGACTGGAGATTGAAGGTTTCGCATCTTGCTGAAATGGCAAAAATTTCGGCTTATTTGAAGAATTACTCAAATGAACAATTTTTATCAATATGGAGAAGATGGATTGTTTATATTCAAAATAAGCATAGAATGGTGGAATATAATCTAGGCTTTTAGATATTTGTTTTTGTTTTTTTCTTACATATTTCACTTACCTATGTAGAATATTATTTTGTGGAGTTAGGGATATTATTAGTAGTTTACTTTTAGTTGAATAGTATCCTGGGATAAGGTTTGGGAAGTCCGGGGGGTGGGGGGTGGGGAGTGGGGGTTTTTGTATTGTGATGTATTTGTGATGTGTTTTTTTTATGATAAAAACAATAAAAAATTTTAAATTTGAAAAAAAACAAAACACTGCGCTTAATAATAGATATATCTTCATTTGGGATAAGTTAATATTATATTTGATTTAATTGCATCGCATCCATCCAGTACTATTACTTTTCGTTCAATACTTAAAAATGAGAAACTATTATGGAAAGTAGATGAACATGTACTTAAAATATTATTTTTAAACAAAACTGGACTTACTAAAAAGTATAAATGCACATATGTGTATGAAGAAAAGTAACTGTTCACTTAAAATAACATAACTGTATTAGCTAGTGAAGATTCTAGAACAAGGGTGTCAAACTGCCAGCCTGCGGGCCGGATGCATCACGCCAAAACCACGCCCACCCCATTACTGGCAATGGGAAAAAAGTCATGATATGTTGCGACACGTCACGTGACATTGCAAGTTTGACACCCATGTTCTAGAAGATAAATTTTGCAGAAAAGTTCTGATTTAGAAAATCTGTATTCCAAGCATAGCTACCTTGAGAATGAACTCTGTTGCTAAATGCAATCAAAAACTTACTTTCCATTGATGACCCCATCAGGATTAAGCATTGGTACAATTTTAAAAATATAGGATTCTCGTAAACTCTGGGCAGCAGGAGCATTACTCATAAGATACTCCAAAGTTCCTTTCATAACCCAACTTGAATTAGTTTCTCCAGGATGTACACGCGCAGATAAGAAAATATAAGGACGATTTCCTGAAAACAGCACAAGTAAAATAGCATGATATAGCCATCATTGAGTTGGAAAGACCTTAAAAATATACTAGATGTTCTAGTATTTTAATCTGTTCTAGCAGATTAATCACATTACATCTGCTTGTTATAAATTTATAAAGATGAAATATAGTCTTCCATACAGCATAATAGTTTATGAAAGCACAAGGTATAATCAGCATATTATATTACAATATTACAATCGGTATAATGTTCCTTGAACCGATTCAATGGAAGAGGGAAGAATCTATCTGCACTGGCATTGTTATTTTAAAATTCCACTGAATTTTAAATTTTGTGGCTAATTTTGATACTACTTGTTATAATACTTTTGCTCCAGGGCTATAGCGTTTAGAGTGGACCTCTCTCTCTCTCTCTCTCCTGAAAGAGGCTCATCCACACAGAATGAAGTATGCAATTGTCTTTCCAATTCTTTCACTGTTGCTAGGGAGAGTGAAGCATATCTCAAACTTCCATTCATCAAATTAACTCAGAAAAGTTATGGCCAATGTTTTCTGTTGCGTGCCTATGAATTATTATAACTAAACAGTACAAAATCAAAGGAAATACGGGTTTTATTTGATTTGAAACTTTTTAAATATAATCAAAAGGAAAAGGCCATACTTACTGAACTGACAAATATGTTCATAGTAATTTGATTCTGGCATGGCTGTAATAGTTACTACAGGACAGTTATTCCCAGAGAGAGTCTCACATAAAACATGTTGCCGAAAATATATCTGCTGAGAATTGTTTGTGGATTCTAATTTTTGGAGATGCATCTTCATCATGCAAAATAAGCACATAAATTCAGAGCCAGTTTTATCTTTTAATTACGCATTTTAAAACTCTAGCTAAAATATTTAACATAATTTCTAAATTCACCCCTTATAATATTGCATCTAACGTTTTATGTATTGTTCAAGATCCTAGTGCACAGATGTAAGGAAGGAATAAAAATAATTATAGTAACAAAAACTTACATAAAATAATGAAGATTAAATTTATCAAACTGCATTGTTAGTAAGAGTTTATGAATTGTACAAGATGTAAACATACATTATATTAAGATATAAACAAGAGGTAACTCATAATATTAGAAATTGCAGTATCATCATTAGCAAGTGTATAAAAATACTAAACTATTGCAAGTCAAACTTTTTTTCACAGTGGAAAGCAATCAATGAAATTCTCTATGCATTTAACCTAAGCTGGTATAACTGCTATTATATATGCAAACTAAAAAAGTTTGATCTGTCACCTGCAGGAACCTTTCAGATATCTTATTTATTCTCAAGGCTTGCCAATTTATTGTGTCCCATTTCATTGCAAATGTTCTTTATCAGCATAAAAAGATTAAATGTTGGTAAATTCTCTCTTTCTGCAATTTAAATTTTCATTCTGCACTGTAAAAGCCATTTTGTGGATATTATGGGGAAGAGTTATAATGTTCTATTCTACGAATGGATAGAACTTCTCATAAAAAAGAGACTAAGATCAAGTAGATGCTCCCCTGTTCCAGAAGATTTCCCAAAAGTCAACTCTCCTGATTACTGGAAGATAATAGTCCACGATGTGCATTTGTTACTATTTCTTAACAAAAATGAAGATACATTGGAAATAACCTATGTGATCAATATTTGGGAATTTCAATACTCATATAGAAGTCTACTTACTACGTTATAAGCAATTTTACATTTCTACATTTACTACTTGATCAGATTTGCCTTTATTCTATACTGCACACTGTTTTAACCATACCTGATACAAACTAGAACAAAATAAACAAAAAGCAAACAAACTTCTTGCTCTGAAATTCTTAATATGAGATCTCATTGCAAAATATTAAACTTTTTACAGTATTCATTAAACAAAGACATTACTTCCATAGGATTATTTATCAACTTTTATTTATTTTATAACACAGTACTTTAGCTTTTGAATGTTGTGATAAATACTGAGCAATATAATTATTTGACGGTATCATTATCAAATAATGGAATTGTAAGCCAAGTTATTATGAATGTATTCATATTAAAATAATTTACCATTAAAGCTGAGTAAGTATAAGGATAATGGTAAGCAAAATAGCAAACATCATCCTTATGATGGAAGGTGACTGTGAAGGTGATTGTATAATATGATTTTCCTTTTTGCCCTCCTGCTGCAATTGAACTTCTTGAAAAATGATTCCTAGGAACAAAACATTTACATTATTATAAAGATAAAGTACATTATTCTATTCTATTCTATTCTATTCTATTCTATTCTATTCTATTCTATTCTATTCCCTGTGATGTGTGATGTCACTGTTCCCCACTGTGTATGTATGTAATGGGGAAATTTCTATCTCTTCTTTTCTTTTGGAAGCAGGCAAGCAAAAGTTTAAAGTACAAAACAGCTGCAATGAAATCTCATGCTAGTTTATCACATCTACCTTCTACGTACTAGAGTCAAAATAGGTCACACAATACCGACATTAAAACTGGGTAGCTGCAAAATGGGTTCAGGAATACATACAACCTGAGTGCGCTAGATTTACTGTTAGCCTTACTTGTAGTAACAAATATCTGTTCCTGTACGAATCCATGAAGGCCGGCCACCCAGTGCTTCTTGAACGGAGTACATAAGGGGCTGCATACCTTCAAGAAAAATGTACTCTATTAGAGAACAAAACTACCCATATTCAGCAAACAAATATACCTATCTACAGACATTGTTCTCAGCATCACATGGGAAAGTAACTTTTGAATGAGATGAGAAAGCAAGTGTATTATTAGAGTTTGATTATTGTAGTATTAATTGTAAATTCAATATTTGAAGGTTCATGTGACCTGCATACATTATGAGCTGTTAAAATCAACAGTGACAGACAGATACCTGGCTTCTGTCTCTTGAAAACTACGGGGACAATATACAATTACCAATCGGTACAGAAAGCTGGACCTAGCATAATCTAGAGTTTAAGAAAAACCACTTGGAATAATCGCTTTTGCATGCTCTTCTGAACTGAACTACTAAAACCAGTTAGCAGCTATTATCTGGAGCAGCAGAGTATAATTTAAGCAAGCTGCCATTCAGGTTACAAGTCAAATCCAAGCCACAGTTTGCAATCCTTGTTTGGAGTCTCGCTACAAGGACAAGCTGGTTTGATTAAATTTCTATTTGATTAATTAAAGCTTGGAGAAAAGAAAAGAGAGCATACATATACAAATTAAGTTTTTATCCTTTAGATTATGGTTTGGCATAACTGACATTTCAATGCTATTACAGTTTCCATGCTAGGTTCTCTATCTTACCATCTGCTCCTTAGAAATCTGTAAATAATTTGTCTATCTCAAACTGATTACCTTTTTTTAAATCCAAAGAAACATTTGCTATATCACTTCTCTGTGCTATTACTGATATTCTGCAATTATCTGTAGTGATAAATTAAGTCCTGGTATTATCTACAACTGTCTAAACTACTTCCCCATGGCTGTGTTTGTACTATGTGTGTTCTTTTTTTTTTCCAAGAGAAAAGTAAATTAACTCTTACCATAATTAAACTGACTGTTTGTCTTTTCACAGTTGATTATATTAAATCGGTAGGCACTGCCTGTTCGCATTCCACTGACTTCAAAATAAAACCACTGGTGATAATGATTGCTGTTTATATCAGAGTTCAGAATGAGATCATACTCATTTCTAAAAATGAGCAGAAATAAATAAGTCACAAAATTCAGGTAATTGATCTATAATGATTAAATAAAACAATAACAATATCTTACTTTCTGATCTGAATAACTTTCCGTAAATTTCCTGATTCAAATTTGGAGTTAAACTTCAAGACATCTCCTTCATCAGGCACGAGACAACTGAGAAATAAAATAAAATTACAATGGTTTATAAATAATTTATTTTGTTGTACTGAATTTGAATTAGACTGATTGGAAAAGAATACAAATGAATACAAATGAACCAGAGCTTCAAGTTATGTATATTAGATTGGATTAAATTATACATAGTTAATGAGAGCTAATGAAAATATAAACTGCAAGCATGTTTTCTATGTTACAGATCAGTGGGACTTCTTGACATCAAAAAAAATCAGATTTGTAGCTGAAATATCAACATAACTATCAGCAATTATATAGTATAGGAATTTTTAAATTTTTCTGTCACTGAATTTTCTTGTTTTTTCCTAGGCTCAAACCTTGTTTACATTTGCATTAGGATAAAATGTTAAGTATTTTCAATTCAGTGGAATCTCATTATAAAGTTCCTTGATATAAGATACTTGACATGTAATAGTTCAGGTTTGTATTGGTATTTACATCATTTTCATCAATTTATGCCATCTTTTGTGATCATTGTGCAAATGGTATCATGTGCTTATTGGCTTCATTATAAAAATGGCATAAATCCTTCCTTCCCCCTTATGGTCATTCATTATTCCTCCTTTCCATCAATAAGTCTGTTAAAACGAGTGTTACATCTGAATAGAACAGATTCTTGTTTCCAGCTCTGCTCTTCCAAACTGTTCTGCGGTATTAGGTGTTCTTGTCTATGAATGTGAAAATTCATGGAGAAACAAAAGGAAACACAGGCTATTAATTTTTTGTACTGTTTTAACATTTGCATTTTTAACCCAGAGAAAACTTGATTTAAAAATAAAACCTTGAATTTTCCATTCCCTGGTTAAAAGACACCAGAAATTTCTTTTCAGTAATGTTCAATAGTGGTTGTGACGGTTAGTACTACTTGTTGATGGATTGGAATAATGATTTTTTTTTCTTTTTCAAGGCATTTATAATTCATAGGATACAAAACAGTCCCTTAAAACTAAAAAATCTTGAAAGCTGTGTTTTAAAATACAGTGGATCCTGGCTTTTTAATTAATAAAGTTATATTTAGTTTTAATTTTACTGTGTACAAATTCTTAAAATTAATTCATCTTAAAGATACAGTACTCTACCTCAAGCAAGTTTTTGACTTTTGCAACTTTCTACTGTAAATAGCCAAGGAAACTATCATACTCCCATTAATTTATAACTTTTCCTAAATTATTGGATCTAAAATGGGAAAGTAATCATTATGAAATAGGTGACTAATCATTATGAAATAAAAGACCTTCATATAAAACTTACCTCAGATTATCAAGATCGTACACAACTCTATCTATAATATCATTAGGATGAATAAGCCTTTCAATGTCTTGGGCAATTTTTGTCCTATTTAGAAAAGGAAGTAAGATGCCGTATTTCAAAACTCTTAACAGTACAGTGCCACATGTAGAATCAGTGCGTAAGGAAAGAAAGAGGAGTTTGAGTTTAAGTCAAGTTTCTACTTTAAATATATATTATTATTTGTGGAACTCACCACAATTCTTTTCTGAATGGAAAGGAAATAGCTTGTATGCAAGACACTGAGGCTTTAGACCCAATGTTTGGTTTCCTTATTACAGGAAACATGCCCAGTATTATTAGCATTTAATGATTATTTCAGTTAGTATTAGTAATTAAAACTAGTTCAGATTTGAAAATAGGTTATATTAAAAATTCATGCAATTATAGTTTGAATACATTGCAGTGATTGGGTTAGGGTGCAAGCCTCTCGCCTCTGGAAGTTTCTAATTGAATATGATGAGCCTCTCAATATAAAAAAGAGAGGTGCTTTATTCAGCTATGTAACCATGCTACAAGAACTGCTGTACTAAATATCTGAATATAATACATATGAGAGAGAAACAATTTGCAGGTAGGTGGGTATCTATGTGTTTATGTATACATCCATGGACCCAATTCCTACAAGACATGTTAACCATGTAGACATTTTCCTGAAGATCACTAACAACTTTTAGTGCAGAAAAGTTGAACAGAACAAATTTTAGTCCTTTCAAGAGCTATATAGGAAACCATGCATCTCACAAAACAATAAAATTGAAATGTTTTTGATAGAAATAGTCTCTATGTTACTATTGGGGAAACTGTCTCTTATTTCAGTGTACACTGACTAACAGATAGCTTCTCTTAATTTGAGATGTATTGCATGTATTTCTTGTGTCTCAATCAAAAAGTTAAGCTACATCTGGACCTGTAACAGACTATATTTGAAAGCACAGAGACAACTATTTCAATTGTCTCTTCATAAGGCAAATTCATAATGTCTGAAGTTTTCTCAAGTATAAACTTGGAAAGACTATGGATTATCTCAAGGTAAATCTTGTTAAAATAAATTATTTCTAAATCTAATTTCAAAAATTTCATTTAAAATGTCTGGGAGCCTTTGCTACCTCAGAAATATATAATGCACAATATTTTTTGGTTCCAAAGACTTTGAGCCCTAAAGATATTTCAAAGATAATCAAAATCTTTGTTTTCTCTCCTAAGAATATTAATGCTATAATTAATATGAAAATCCTTAAGTTTGCATCAATCCTTCGTTGTTAGAATTGCTTATTGTATATGGAAAATGTTCATGACATAATTATCAATAAGCAGAGAACTGCACTTCAGCAAAGAAAAATATTTTATTTAATATGTGTCCAAATTATTTTCACAAAATTAATATGGCCTTAGCCATGGGATAAAGAAATTATCCCCAAACATAATGCAGATATAGAATGGCAAATTGGCAATAAGAACATAATGCTATCCCAACTGTAAACTTATTATCAAAAGAATTAACAGAGACAACAATCAAGATGAAAAAAATAATTATTTGAACTTTTTCACACTAAGGGACTTGTCCGTGATAAAAAAAAAATTAGAAAGCATTTTACCTTACTTCTCCAAATTCATAGACTTTACAGCAAGTAAGGGTTTAAAATGCCCCACAGGAAAGTTAATTGTTTCAGTGATAAAATCAAAACACATTTTACTTCTTCAAATGTCCTAATTTTAGCAGATTCATTCAAAAGGCACATTCAGTATTTAAAATACAACTGCTGACATTTTCAGGACATAATTATGAAAAAATGACTTATATCTCCTTATTTCAAAACTAACTGAAATTCAATAGTTCTGGAAGAGTTTTTGATGCAGTTCTTATATATTAAATGAATGTTAGAGTCCTCCTTCACCTAAGAGACACATTTCCATGAAATCTATCTGCCTGTTCACTCAGCAGGCAATACTCAGTCTACAAGCACAATTGGGATCAGAATTTCTGTTTTTAGCCAAAGCAATTAAGTGAATCGTACCCAATTTTATGACTTTTTTTTAACCAGTTAAGAGAATCGTTGCAGCTAAGTGAATCGTGCAGTTGTTAAGCAAATCCACCACCACCACCTCCCCACTAACTTTGCCTCCCCCATTGACTTTGTCGGAAGCTGGCTGAGAAGGTTGTGCATTTTGATCATGTGACCATGGGGATGCTGTGATAGTTGTAAGTGTGAGTAGCAGCTAGAAGTCATTTTTTCCAGTGCCACTGTAACTTTGAATGGTCATTTGACTAATGGTTGTAAGTCAAGGACTACCTATATCCTTAAATTTAGACAGGATCTGAAATATGAATCTCAGCACTATTATTTCTATGTAGCCATGCTGCAATTATATTTCTTTATAATGATAATTACAAATGTGTCGATTTAAGCTGATTTATGCACAAATGAAACTCTGGAATGACTATTGGCTTTATGTATTACTATAGCACTAAATTTATATATTACTATAGCACTAGCTTTACTGATAATTTATATATGTGAAATCAATTACATTTTTTAGGAGTCATTTTGAGAAGAATAATTATGAATCTCTGGATGAATTTCTCTCCCCCCCCCTCCTGCATTAATTTAGAAAGCAAGGTTCAAGGAAAATGCACACACCCATTCACTGCCAACTATTGCCAAAAAAGGAGTTTAAGAGACCCCGATGTTATGGAGAAATATCCAATATTTCTTTCACATACATCAGAGTTCGCATGTGACTGGCAGCCATTCTCTTCTTCCTTGTGGAAGAAAAGGAATAAAACATGAGATTATGCAATATCTGTAAATTCTAAAAGTTCTATATTCTTTCATGCAGATGATAATATTTTTCAGTATAACATAAAGCATTTTACAATTTTGAAAGTGATTTAGTATTTTATCTCAGTAAACTACACAACATTCATATACAAAGGTTACTACAATCTCACATTAATATGTGTGTGTGTGTGTGTGTGTATACACACACACACACATGAAATTTGGCAAAGCTGTGGTCACTTCAGCACTGCTACAGTGAGCCACAGTCATATGATCATCATTTCCAATACCCCTTGCCAGCTTCCCACAAGGAATGTCAATGGGGATGCTGGCAGGAAGTTGGAAGTTGCTGTTGCTCTCTCTAATCTTTTGGCCACCTGTGATCATTTCATTTCTCTGTTTAGGTAAGGAAATACCTCTGAAACAATGATCCAACAGGTCCCAGATTGTTTAACAATATACAGAATTCTGCATTCACAAAACAATAGCTTATGTTATCTAATAATACAGTATTTTTCTTTATGAACAGGCAAATCAAAGTTGAATCCAAAATTTCTGAGAGGAATTTCATAATTAAGTGGGACCTTTCACATTCCCTTCCATTTTTCAAAATCCCAAAATTTTCTTCAACAATTTGAAGTTCATCTGAAGGGATATGGTGAGAAGGACTGTAGGGCTGAATGGATGAAAACTGCCTGTCTCGCCTTCATTTACAGCATCAATCTTGGATCTTAATATATTCCATTAATACTATAACTGTTATATTTGAATCTAGTAATATTAATTTTACTGTGAATGATACACAAACACTATATTAAATCATTCTGTAGGCATTTTTGAGGAAAAAAGGTGAACTCACCTCTGTACACCATATGGTCTTTCAAGGATAGGTTCTTTAAATGAAGGTGGAATATGTCCAAAATAATCAGGATAAGCGACTTCTGAATATTCAGGAACAGATCTAGTATTTTTCACTGTTTCAATATAGAGTTCTGGATCATGCAGTTGTATTGTATCAGGCACTTCAATTGTTACTTGCTCTCCTATAGAAACTGAACAAGATACTTCTTCTTCTTCAGGATCAGGTCCAGAACAGCATAGTTTTCCCAGCTGGACAGACCGTCCCTCAAACAAAACACTTCCACATGTTGGAACATGTTGAAAAGGTTTATTATAGGTAATTTCACTAATGCTAGTTTTACATTCGTTTTTTGTCACGGTCTTAGAAATATTGAACTGTTCACTTTTGGAGGTATTTTGAAGTGAAATTCGTTCAAAGTCTTTTACAATTTCATGATGCAGGCACTGGCATGATGGAAGCAATTTCATTTGATCACCTTGATGCTGCAAACTATTATCCATGATACCATCATTTTTTACCAATCCCAGAAATGCTGGTCTTTTATTACAGTCTTCACTTAGTAGATTATTCTCCTTCACAGGAAGTTGCATCATGTCATTTGTTAAAGATGGTTCCTCTCCAGCAGTGGGAACAACAATAGGTCCTCCTGGAGCTGCGCTGTCCGAAAAAGACTTTGGTTCCTTTGAAATGAGGTCACATTCCTTAATATTAAAGAAAGAAAAAAAATGGCAGATACTTGTTAGAGGATTACAATGTTAAATGTTGAAGAAAGATCAATGAGACAGAAAGAAGGATCCGATCCAGACAGAAGGAATAAACCATGAAGGAATGGAGACAAATAGCAGGTAGTTTCCTTTTGAAGAAGCTAAATGTGAAAAAAAAAGAATTACAATGTCAGAATGAGTTTACGTGCTAATATTGAAAGTGACATGGTTCACTTTATATGATTTACTGGATCAAATAAAACCCAATCTGAATCCAAATTCAAAGTCAGAGGAGACCCAATGTGGTGTAATGCTTAGGATATCAGGCTAAAAATTGGGAGACCATGAGTTCTAGTCTCCCTTGCCAAGAGAATGACTTGTCCAGGCAGGCTCCAAGAATTGGAGACAACTCAACACAAGAGAATAAAATTAAGTCAGATATGGAAATTTCAGAAGGGTAAAAATATACCTGCTCTTGATTACTAATAATTATGGATATTGACTTTGTTCCTGAACAAAATTGACAGAGATTACCTTTATGCAAATATATCAGAATCATAGGGTTGGAAAAGACCTTGGAGGTCTTCTAGTCCAATCTCTTACTCAAGGCAGGAGCTCCCTGCCCAATTTTTTGATATTCTGTATTGAATAAAGCAGCAATAACATACACAAACCTGCTCAGTTTTAATTCTGGTTTGACTCTTTATGAGGCTCATGTGAGTGCCTGTATACAATTCAATTAAGGTTCAATTAATGTGAACGTGATGGAAATAAAGTGCATAACCTTTGAGAGACTTTCATGAATTTATTTACCTATCCAAGTAGACAATATTTAACTATTTTTTCTATTTCAAACTTAATTATCTTCGTTTTGTGATTCTCAAGCAAAAATATTAATGATAATGGTCTCCCAACAAAGCATCAACTAGGCCTCAAAGCTCTTTGACCTTAAAAAGATAGCTGTCTAGTCCACTCACTTCTGTTTTTTTATGTATTTCATTATATTGAATAGCAAGATTATAAAAAAATAAACCAAATGCAAAAATGGAATAGGTGAACAATTAATAAATTACAAAACACTTAAACAGAAGAAACAATAGCACAAACAATAAACAAAATCCACAGAAAATTTGACCAATATAGTCTACCTAATGAGAGAGAGAGAGAGAGAGAGAGAGAGAGAGAGAGAGATGTTTAATATTGGTTAACCAATATTGTTATAAATATTAACCTACTGAAATCACATTTATGAAAAATACCTTATAATACTATATTATTATCAAATAGAGAATAAGAAAAACATCTAATATTACTACTTTATTATTATAAAGCATCATAAATCTATATCATTTCTTCATTAGCAGAAAACATTGTCTTTTCCAAAATAGATCAATCACACATTTGTAAATGCCAGTCCTTAATATTTGGAATAATATTAATTTACAAATTCTTAATATAATTCTTTTGGCAATTCCCCATGCCAATATACCGGTAGTCATAATTTGGAATTTCAAATTCCAAAGTTTTGGGATACAATTCAAAGTAACATTAGCCTTTCTAATATTTAGGGATTTCCCAATAAATCAGCTCATGCATTAAAATGTTATTCCAAAGAATGCAAGTAATTCACAAAATTCTCAATCACATGAGCCAATGAACTGTCATTTTTTTTATACCTCAATCAAATAAAATCTGGTTTAGTGTTTCAAATATTGGGCAGTCCAATAAACTTGAAATATAACATTTTCATGAATAAATTTTAATGTTCTTAAGGATTCATGACATTTGAGGAGGCATTTTAGATACTTCAATTATTTAGTCCATAGTTGATAAATCCCAGTAGTATTCACTTTAAAACTTTTTAAAAAATATTTTGGGTACAGATATGCTATTGGCTTAAATTCAATCATGGATTCCATCAAATAAAAAAAAAACTCAGATACCTTAGAAGCAACCATGACAACTGCCCACCTTTAGGCTATCAAAACATGTTTGGGGAAAAAAATTATAAATTGACAATGGCAACTTTTTATAAAGAAAACTTATATAAAATGTTCTATAGATGGCACTTACCACCTGCTAGATTAGCAAAAATGTTTAAAAATATGTCTAGTAAATGTTGGAATGTAACCAAAAATCTGGCACATATTATCATTTGTGGTGGACCTGTGTTAAAGCAAAATAAATTTGGACAAAAATACACATTTGGTTGGAAAAGATGTTAGGAAAACATGTAGATTTTAAACCTGAACTTTTCTCACTAGATATAATACCAGAAAAATCTGATAAGCAAAGTATATATTTAACATTGCATGTACTAACAGCAGCGAGGATGTTATTTGCTCAGCACTGGAAGAATGAAGAAATACCACTAGACGAAGAGATAATCAAGAAGATATTGGACTGTGCTGAAACGGTCAGACTTACATTGAGGATCAAAGAGAAAGAAGATACAGAATATTTTCAAACATGGAATTTATTTTATCAATGGTTGGAAAAAAGGGGTAGAGACAAAGAAAGTAATTTGCATTATTAAGCAAACAAATAAAACCAGACAACACGATGTTTATTAAGCACTAATTAAATGTAATAATAAAAAATAATTTTTTAAAAAAAAAAACATGTTTAAGTTGAAGATATTGCCACAATTGTAAACCAGGAAGAACAAATTTCATTTAAAACTGAGAAAAATCCTTCATACAGTCATTACATAACAATTTACAGTATTTGAAGCAAGTATTCCACCTTTCACATAGCTTCCAATATAACATTTTATCACCTAATTTCAAAGCAGAATCCTCCTGAAGAGTTAAAAATTTATGAATGTATCAAACTTCATCTTATATCATAATAAAGTACAAAGGTTTCTCTCAGCATGCATTCCTACAAATAACTGTATATTCTATTGTATATTTATCCACGAATTGATATGACCTTGATGGAGATATAATTTTCCAACCAGGTCCATACAGAATAATACTCTACTAAATTTTCATTCCATATTATTTACACTGATAAAATATAATCCATTGATATATATGTGTCCAGCATATTATCATCATTTGAACAAGTGGAAATCTCAATTTAGTAATTAATTCCTAGGTCTACTTTTCCCAAATCAATTCCCTAAATAACATATTGATCTTAACAAAATATTTGGAATATGGGACATATCTCATTAATCGCACGAGGAATAATATTCATGTTAATACGATTAATAGGATTAATTCTGTTCTGTAGTCTTAATGACATTTTAATTTCTTTATTACTATTTAGATCAGTCTTTTCTAAAAATTTTAATATATTTATTTTCATATATTTAGAAAGATTTTGAGATTATAATCTCAAGTATTTAATATAATCAGCAGAGATCACAAAACCCTATTCTTTGCAAAATTAGAATTCATATTAATAGAATATTTGTAGTTCAGGATTGAACTGTGGTGTCTTTGATGCTCTCTGAGCTTGGCGATTTTCTTGCAGATGTTTTATTAGCCAAGTAGGTAACACCATCAGTGCTAGAAAAGAATGGAGTTATCCTGTCAGTGACACAAGTTGAGGGTGTTCTAGCTGGTTTCTTCATTAGGCTGTTGTTTACTGAGTTAGTAGTTCCTTGATTAGGGTATAGTTTACTGCTTGATGTTAATTTCTGCATATCTGAGTGTTGATTGATGGTGATGAAATGTTTTGGTCTTTTTATTTTCTTTTTGGCTTTTTGATTGTCTCTTTTGAGTGATATGTAGATATTGTTATTTCTATCTGCCTGTTGATGATAGATTTGTCTGAGTGCCAGCTTTCAGGAATTCTCTAATGTTTTTGGACTGGCTTGGTCTAGGATGCTCAAAATTTCTCAGTTGAAACTATTGCTAAGTCTGTCCATGAATTTCCTCATTTTTTCTGACTTCAAGTTGGTGTTTATGGATGCGCTCTGCTAGTCTTCTGACTGTCCTACACAGTGGCTGTTATAATTCTTACGCTGTATGTTGTAGATGATTCCTTTTTTTTCTGGGGCTGCTGGTATACTGGTTTTTTAGCATGTTTTGGAGGGCTTTAGTCAGTTTGTGTGCTACAGTGATGCCATGTGGTTGTAATAGTCTGTAACAGTCCACTGGTAGTTTCCAAGATGTTTTTCATATAGTGGCAGTGTTATTCTTTTCACAGCTTGTGTTGGTTGTGCTATATTGGTCAGGCACTTTTTGATAAAGTTGCATGAGTAGCCATTTTGTTGGAAGATGTTATACAGATGATCTTTTTCCTTTTTCTGATGTTCAGGGCTGCAGCAGTGTATTTGTGCATGTCTAAATAGTGTACACAGCTTCTCTTGTGGGAAGTTGGGTTGTTTTTTTGATAGTGGAGCACTTGGTTGGTATGGGTAGTGTTACGATAGACTAATGTTTCTAATTTGCCATCACTGCCTCTGCTGATGAAGATATCCAGGAAAGGTAGCATATTGTTGTTTTCTTCTTCCCTTGTGAATTTTATTCCTTTGAAAATGGAATAGTTTTATGCATTTTCTCTAGCTGGTCCTTTTTTATTATGACAAAGGCGTCATCTATATACCAGATCCATACTTTGGGCTGTATATGCGGCAGTGCTTTAGATTCTAAGCATTGCATTATGGTCTCTGCCATGAATCCTAAAAGTGGTGATCCCATGGGCATTCCTTTGGCTTGGTTATATATTTGTCCATCAAACTGAAAATATGTGGTTAGGCAAAGGTTGAAGAAGTTCATGATTCTGTGTATTTTAATCTCAAGTGTATTTGGTCAGGTCAGGTGTGCTAGGTAGTAGTGCTGTGATGGATTCTTTTGTTAATTCTGCATCTATGGATGTAAAGAGTGCTGTGACATCAAATGAGACAATGATTTTATCTTCATCTATGGCCAGGTCTTTGATTCTTTGGAGGCACTGTAGTGGGAAGTTGATGCGGTATTTGCTTCCCTCTGTTAGATATCTTAAGCTTTTCTGTCAGTTCTTTAGCAGGCTGGGGTCCCTGGTAACAATACAATTGGATGGAGAGATATGTCTGGCTTGTATGTTTTAGGGCGTCCTTAGAAGCATGAGAGGATGGATACATTGCTTTTCGTCTGCTATTGACTTCTTTACTGATTTAATCTTTCTTGGTAAGGTCACTAGGAATTCTCTTAATATATTATAGCCCAAGGAAGGTAGGCAAAAGTTAATGTTATACTCAGAATGCTTTCCAAAATATTCTATTATCCATGTAAATTAGGCAGAAAAGTAGCATGCTTATCTAAAATTACCAAAACGTCACTAGTAAATTAAAACAACTAGATTTAAAAATAGCAGCATCCTTACCTGAAAATCCTCTAAAAGTTCTGGAAAAAAATGTTCATACATTTTCAAATCTTCCACTGGTCGTCCCAATTCCTGCTTTGGTTTCAGTTTATTGATATCTGTCTCAATGTCATCGTTCTAAATAAAAAAGTCCATAAGCATAATTAAAAATCTTGGGGTAACTATGTTTTTGGGTAAATAAAAACATAATTCATAATTGAATAATTCTTGAAAATAAGGTTCTTCCATGCTTACTGAGGAAAAACATCAAAACCTCTGATTGACTGGTGGAAATTGGTTACATCACACTGTAGGTTTTCCCTATCTCTGAACCAGCAGAAAGCCTTACCAGGATAAAATTGGCTCTTCCCCATTACTGATCCCTATCCAGCCTCTATCATCCCATTTTACTTGACTTTCCACCATGGGTGATAAATTCTTGCAATATTATATATCTTAAAGCCACCTTTGCCTGATGTCAGAATATATTGATCTTTAAGGGAATAGAACAAGAGGGAAAACATATTGTAATACCAATGTAGTTAAGAATAACTAAAGCTAACTCACTCAAGCTGGTAAAAGATGAAGGCAGCTTCATGGAGATAGCAAAAAAAAGTACATTTGTATAAGCTGTGGTTAGGTAATACATGTAGAATGGAAGAATGCACCTCCTAAAAATGAGCCCTCCCAGGTTTCAGGTATTGCATCAATGTTATGAGCTGATGCAGCATAGCCAGATGTGAGACCCTGTTTTATGAGGTTCAGTTGTATTAATCAGTTGGGACTGCCACTTGCTTACTTTCCTCTCTGCAGTGTAACAGTATTCCTGCCCAACATCTCAACTCTATGGCCACGTTGGTAGTGGGATTCGCCAGGATTATGTTCTGTGTCCAAAGAATCTGCCTTTTTGGGGCACATAGTCAGATGTGGTACAAGAATTCATAGTAACTATGGATCTGATCCAATTTATTCGGGGCCCAATCTGCAACCTGTGCAGATTCTCCGATAGTGAATCCTACATAACTTGCTGGCTTATTGGGGAGCTTCATGAGATGAAAAGAGACACTAGAGCTGTACTTGGCTAAATATGAATTAGAAGGACCTGGCACACGTAAGCCTCATTAGGACTTACCTTGTGACTATAAGAGCAGTGAAGTGAGCTTACTTATCCATTCTGACTGCATCAGCAGAGAACCAGTTGGCTGACAATTTGGGTAACAAGGAATCCCTGGGAGCTCTTGTAAATTTGCTGTGAGGAATAGTCTCAGCATGGTTATGGCCACCGAAGAAGTTGGGTCCAAGTGGTGATTATGCCTCATTGTGGGAAGGGATGTGGCACCTGCCATGAAGGAGGTGGTGGTAAATCCCTTTCTCAAGAGGCCGTTCTTGAACCTGATAGTGATGGAATAATTTTTGTTCACTCTTCACTCTTTGCTTTTTAGAGAAAATTGCTGAAAGAGCATTAGACACTTAGCTTCAAGGGGCCTTGGATGAAATGATTTTTTGGCCCCCTTGCCAGAGTTAAAGCCCGGTTATATACTGAGATGGCACTTGTAAATGACCTCTGGAAGCTTCAGAGTGTATCCATATAGATATAGTGACTATCTTCTAATAAGGGGAAGGGATTTCTAAAATGGAGGGACACTGCTGATCAAGCACACTCAGCCTGGAAGTTGCTTGCCACAAGAAATCTGCTTCTCAAGGTTCCACAAGACCTTAGGAAGAAGGCCTCACTCGGCCAACAGCTGTCTTGAGAAAGACCAGGCTGGGCATACTTCATCAGTATGAGCAAGACGACAGTGGGGGAGGGGTCAGGTGGGTTGGTGAAGCATAGTTGGGGGGGACTTCAGTGTGCAGTATAGTGAAAATGGGTGTATCTAGGTCTTTGTGCTGTTAGGCTGGTGTACCTATAGCTTTGTGCCACATTGCTGAGTTGGAGTGGCTGTGGCTTTCCACCACTGAGCAGAGGGGGCTGCATGCTGTGACTCTGGGGCTATGCAATCCACTCGTGTGATCCACTTGCTTTCAGACATAAAGCATGACTGGATAAAAGACTGACTTTTCATGTGACTACTCAGGTAGATTCTTTGTTTTTTAAAAAATAATTATCAAATTTGATAAAATGGAGTAAGAAATCCACACATGCTGATACAGAAGCTGAGAAATTTTGCAAGACTGTATAGTTCTGTGAAACACAGCAGCCCCAAATGTACTTATTGTTAAAGAAATCAATATACGTTTCAGCACTATTTCCTTCCTTTTTTTTTTTTACTGTACTACCGAAAGTATATTTAATGTATTCATTATTTGGAAAACAGTGTTTTCCAGTGTCCAAATAAGCAACTTTTCAGAAGGGTAAAAATAATATTTTTAGAATTAAGAATGTATGCTATTTCTTCAGGTATTACTAACCTTAAAATGTTGATCTATGTCATCTTCATTATCATTTTCAACCTCAGATTCTGTGTCGATGTCATCATTGTCATCACTTTCATCTACTACGTCATCCACTGTGATATAAAATGCTCTATAAGTAGGGCAGATGTACGTTTTCTACAATATGTATATCCCAGAAAAGAAATGATGCATGTGAAACTTCTCACTCATCAACTGGAACCTAATACTACATAAAAACTTAACTTTCCATGACACCATGTGCTGTATATTTAATTATATAGATTCTTTAGGTAACAAACAGGTTTATTCAGTATTTTACCCAGGAAGTTCATTAGGTAGACTACAGAATGACAGTGTTTACGTATATTAAATTCTTCATTAATAGTTCATTCTCTGAAAAACTTATTTTGGGAACCTGGGAGGGGTCCTAAAGTGGATGAAATAGAGACAGAACTTGCTGAAAACTAGGACAGAGCAGCTTTTGTGTCCTGCTCATTAAAGACACATCAATTCATATTCAGCAGTTCCCTGCAATACACCCTGCCAGGATGTACTGCAGGAAGACAGAAGGTTCCCTTCATGGCTTGGGACCAGCTTATCTGAGGGACCATCTTTTGCCGGTCACATCTACCCGACCCACGAGAGCGGGGAAGCAAGAAATGTTGTGGGTCCTGTCCCCTAAGGAGATACATCTGACGGACCCAGAAGAAGGGCGTTCTCCATGGTGGCTCCCTCTCTCTGGAACATCATTTTCCCAGAGATTAGATTGGCCCCCACTCTAACACTGTTTCGGAAGGGTTAGGGTTGTCTAGTATCTAATCTATCCATAATACACTTTTATGTTTGTTTATTTATTGCTGTCTCAGTATCATTTTATTCTACAGAAAAAGCATATTTTCTGTAAGATGAATAGAAACATAGTTCATCTTTTTAGTTGAGAGCACACACGTTGCTTATCTACAAACCTATCTATTATTAACTTCAAGCTTCAAGAGTTATAGAATGATTCCAAAAACATGTAATTTCTACATCTGAGGAGCAAGACATCCTTTTCTTTGCTGTAGACCAGAGATCCCCAACCTCTGGGCCACAGCCCACTAGTGAGCTGTGAGCTATTTGCAACTGGGCCACAGAATCGGAGGGCAAGTGTGTCCCCACCTGCATCCTCACTTGCGCAAGCAGCAGGTGTGCACTGCTTGTGTGCTTATGCACACTGCTCGTGCAAATGGAGCTGCGTGTGCGCACACTTGCGCACGCAGAACCATCCCCTCTTTCCCCCTCCCCTGCCGGTCTGCAAACCTGGAAAGGTTGGGGAACTCTACTGTAGACAGTTACCTTTTACATATGAGAGCAAAAACGATGGGACTATCTGTTTTTAAAACTGCACAGAATATCAAAGACAATACTTCCCTTTTTAAATTTTAGATTTATAATATAACTGTTTTATTTGATACTTTACATCAAATATATTAAAATAATGTTTTAAAATCCTGAAGGAAAAAATACATCTAATGGGTGCATAAGTGAGCTATTACTCACTAACAAATCTCTTAATTATTTTTGTGTAATTTTGCTTCTCCCACTGCAATGTCATATGGCATAGCTCTTACTATTGAGGAACATCCCCACCCCAATATCCAGAAAGATTGGGGGGAGGGGTGACAAGAAGGAAGTTGGTGAACTTGACAAAACCAATACTACAAATAAAACAAGATGACGGAAGATAAAATCACTGGAAATGATTTGAGTTTAAGAATTTGATTTTGGGCAGTAGAACAAAATTTAAATTATGGTGTTGTTTTCATTTATTCTACATATAGATATACATTTTAGTTTTGTAGCAATCATATACTACAGGAATTCATGTTACTTTTCAAAAATAGTCTATTATTTTACAAGAGAGATTTTTTTTACTGTGATATTAGGATTTCAGGAACAGGCACAAAATACCAAATTGGACAAGACTACAATGTTTTAAAATTGCTCATACCTTCAGGAGGCAAACTATATAGCTGATACACTGGTCCATTAACAGGCATAACAGGTAGTTGGAAATGGAAAGCACTTTTAATGGTTGGTAATGGAAGACGATTTTTAGGATAGCATTTCCTCATTATCAGACTAGAAATGTTGACAAGTGGATCAAGAGTTCTTACTACAAGGCATTCCTATTATAGAAATATATTAAATTACAGAAGGTAAAATATTTTGTGAACTATAACCATTGACATTACAAAGAGAGTATATTTTCATTCATTTAGAATGGAATTCTTGCCTCATTATATCTTCTTATGTAAACTTATATGCACACACAACACAATTCTAACAAGTTGCTGCAACATTAAACAAGAAATGGCAATAGAAATGTTGCAATTATTTCAAAGTGCAGCAATTCTTAGGCATAGTTTCTATATTAGAAAACCGTTGAATGATAATATAACCTTGTCTATGTTGAACTCCTTCTATAGTATCAGCCTGATTATATGTTGTGCTCTTGACACCATTTCATCGTTCAGAAGTCTTAAGAACAGATAAACCACAAAGAAAACAATTGAAAATTTCCATGCAATTAGTTGAAACTGGTGGTGTTTCAGAAAAAACAGAATGATATTTTAATGGCACAGATACAGCAAACACGAAAGCCAACTTCAAATAGTTTTTATTCTTTGCACTTATATTTCGTTTATCAAGTAGCTCTTATTAACTCTCAAGGGCTTCTAGAAGGAACAGTTATACAGGCAGAGAAATTGATATCCTCACATTGGAACCATAGGATATAGGATATGAGCAAGATTTGCCCAATCTTCATTGGCTGACTCTTTTCCTATCTTTTTTTGTTCTTTCAAGTCAGTATCTGTTTATCACCAGGATGTTGCAGCTGGTGAAAAATACGTCTAATTTGCTAACAGGCCTCATTGGGTTGAGTTCACATTACACTTATGCTTCAGGCCCTTGAATGTATTTAAAAGGCTTCTGGGTGCAATTTTAAAGTGGTGGTTTTGATCTTTGTCCTAGGATCACATTCTCTAACTATAATTAACCTGATGAGTTAGTTGACCTGGAAAAGGCTGCTGGATTATTCCATTTCCATGAAAAGAGGAGGGGCAAAAGCAAAAAGGATCTCTCTGTCAGCAGTTGTAGCTGTCTTTTGAAACAGAGTGTAATGTAGCCCGACTGTAATCAGACTTAGCTCCATGCTATTCTAATTTGAGAAAATATTCAAAACTAAGATAATGCATATAGCATCTGTTATGACCAGATACAGTACCACGGAGCTTGCATGTATTTATGGGAAGAGGTTTTTGTTTGGACTATTATTTAATTGTATTTGTTTATAAATTTCTTAGTTTGTTTTGCATTGCTGTGTCATGGATGTTTTATGGATGCATATTTTTATTAGGGATTTTATATTGTTTATTATGGATAATTTATATAAGTAGCATTGTTAACTGCTGGGGATCCTATAATATGTCAGTATAGAAGTTCAGTAAATAAGTAAATAAACCATTCAGGGTGCCTTCTTAGAAATGAAAACTTCTTTAGTCAGAAAGAGCTATGACTAATAAAAGATACTACTGATTAGCAATATAGGTAGTTCTCATTTAACAACTACAATTAGTTCCAATGACTTGGTCATTAAGCAAAATAGTTGGCAGAAGACAGAGAGAGGGAGGGAGGGAGGGAGGGAGGGAGAGAGAGAGAGAGAGAGAGAGAGAGAGAGAGACTAACTGTCATCACAATCATAAAAAGTTCTTTATATAAAACACCTGTGGCTGACCATGTTCCCCCCCCTCCTTTTGGTCTCCCCACAGAGCAGAGAGAGTGCTTAAATAAGCTATCTCTTCCTGAGCTACTTTTCTCCACAGTGTAGCATTTCCTTAAAAAGGGCTAACTGCAAGTTAACAAGTTTAGCTTTGTTACCTTAATTAGTTGATTAGTTGACGATCAGAAAATCATTATTTTATTACCATTTACTATCAACATATTTGTGAATGGTCAGTATCTGAGGCAGTTGCTCAATAAGGACTGCTTGTAAAACTTCTAATATCAAATATACTAGTGCACACTGAATATATTTTCTTGTGAATCATAATAATTTTTCAGCTGAAGAATTAAAATATATATAGATTTTATATTGTTATCTACAAAAAGCTTATATTACCATTTTAATTGTACATAAAGACCACTTATAATAGCATAACATCTTAAAATTTACCTGTGAAGTGTTGTACAGAATTTTCATCCCATCAACATCTAGAAATGCTTTTCTTCCCAGCTTGATATTTGTAATACTTTTAACAGATTGCAAGATTCCCTTACGGATTAACATATGTCTATGCCGACTATCATGACGGTGCCAATCTACATAAATTGTTAAAAGCATTTGGACGTAGCCTCTATCCACAGCTCTCCGTGCATTTGTTTCTTGAAGGAAAACAAGATTTAGAGCTGTATTATAATAAATAAACAACCTGATTTTTCTTCTGGCAACTATGAGAGCAAATGAATGATTGAGTAATATAGAATTAGAATACATATAGAATTTATTTCTTTCCTTGTTACTACATTTATGGTAAAATATTAAGAGAGAAATATCTGAAATCAGCTTTCGGGATCAACTCACACACAAGTACAAAATAACAGTTATAAATAACGACTGTTGTACATACAAGTCAACATAGGACAGAAATCAAAGACTGACTGGAAAGTGACATACCTCAAGTCCCCTTCAAAAGTATACATATAGGGTATATCTGTGGGCATTTCATACACTATTTCATCTTAATATGCTCACAAATTTGTTGTGGAATAACTTAGATCAATGGTAGTGAACCTATAGCACGGGTGCCAGAGGCGGCACTCAGAGCCCTCTCTGTGGGCACACGTGCCGTCGCCCCAGTCCTAGGCCTTCAGCTGGGTTTTATAAAACCTTTTCGCTTTAGGCCTCCGCAGCCGTGTTCCCCCCAAAAAAGGTTCAATCAATCAGTCAATTTCAACTTCTCGGGGGGGGGGGAATCTTGCAAAGTTGGAACTGATTGATTGAACTTTTTAGTCCCAACCAGTCTGCCATTACCTCCGCAGCCACGCTCACCCAATGGGCCACACCCACCCAGCACCCGACGATGTGTAAGTGGGTTTTGGGTTGCAGTTTGGGCACTCGGTCTCTAAAAGGTTCGCCATCACTGACTTAGATACTCATTGAGATTTCAGGGAAAGAATTTGTGAGGTTATGTTCAATTAAAAGATACTAGTAGCAATCCCAAGAAAAAAGGCAAAAAAGTCAATTACTATTTCAAAACGTAGATACCAATTCTTCTGTATCTCAACCACTTCTTATTTCATGATTTCAATATACAAGATGAGACAATTTGTATTTTATGGAATATTAATTTTCACTTGCTTTGTCTGCAAAATCAAATATTAATCTGTTCACATTCCATACGCTCTCTAACTGCCTTGTACACTTACTTGATTTCAGAAGTGCAGTGAGGGTATCTAAAGCAACCCTATAAACAGAACAAACAAGAACATATGTTAAAGTTTAGAGGTTGTTATAGAAATGGCTTTTTTTCCTTTTCCCTTTGTACCTCATATTTTCTTTCTCTTCTCTTTTTCCTTCCCCCAATTTCCTGTTTTTATTTTTATTTTTATTTTATACTTTGATAAAACAATAAAAGTCAGGAAAAACAAAAGTTTAGGGGATATTCTTGCTTATGGTAAAAGTGCCTAATTATAAATAGGACTCCATTCCACATATACTTCCAATGCCTTTGAAAGGGAAGTGTCAATGACCAGGATCATTGATACCATGTTTGAACGGATTTAGCTAAGAGAGGCATAAGGCAATATATTAATTAATTTATCTATTTCAAATCAAAGTATTATAAATGTAGTGTTATATGACCTTTGCTATGGGATCAAAGAACTCAAAACCTTTTTTGAGCATAATTGTGGCTTATCTTAAAAAAAAGTATATAAATGATTTTAAACTTTCAAGCTCAAATATAATTTTAGAGTTATTTTCAGTGGTATTAAAACAATTTCAGCTCATTATCTTTCCCATTTTAACTACTAGAAACTATTATATTTTAAAGATTATCTTTAACATTACAAAAGCTAGGCAAACATATCTAGAGGTTCTACTTACTTCATAAGGCCAGTATTTTTCTTACTGTAAGGACCAATTATCTTAAATATCAATTCCACAACTCCATTCTTACCCAAGGAAACAGCATTTACAGCTAAAAAAAAAAACAATCTACTTCAGTGTATAAACATGGTGCTGCCACTATTCACAAAAACCACAAAATATTTTCTTCTTCAATTATTCTATTTAAATAGTATGACTTCAAATATCAAATATAATTACTTGATATATTATTTTTCAGATTAATGGAAGATACATATGCATATATATTTGGTAAATTATCTTAAGTGAAGAGTTTTGGGGAAAAAATTCTATATTACTGCATTGTTCATTAGGTACTCAGTATTTCTCATACATTCATATAGTATATTTGTAGGATTTTTAGAATTGATAAACCAATCAATTGCCAAATAAAAGTTTTATTATACGATCAATATTTAATACTATTTATTTTGAAAAGGTGATTCTAACATTCCCATAATGAAATTTAAGAGTCTTCATTTCAAGCCCCATGTCTCTGGTGAATGAATCCTAATTAAAAAGCTACTAGCAGTAGGTTATTAATGATAAATACTGAAAATTTTGGTAACCATCTTCTGTGGCTTTAAGTTGGTAGGGCAATACTTAAGAAAACTTTTCCCTTTATCTATTCACAACACCCATTAATTTATGGCTTAACATATAGTTGCATGCAAACATAATTATAATTGTATGATAAAACTTCCAAGGCTTTTGTGGAATAAAGTGTTTTTGACTGATGAATTGTATTGTTTGATCTCATGAAATATTCAGAGAGAAAAAAAGGTTGAAGCATTTGTAGAAAAGAAATGCCAACCATTAACTATGGGAATGGATCTGTTAGGGTTTGGGAATTATGTGGCCCAGATATAATAACAGGTGGAAAGAACAATGTATTCAAGTAAATATCGACATAACATAGAAGTTAATGTTCTTCCATCAGTATAGAAACTGAAGATGAAAAGAGACTGGATATTTCAGCAAGACAACAGTCTGAAAGATAACCTATATTAATGGATGTACATTGCTGAATGCAACAATACTCACAATTAATTGAGTACACTCTTAACACTTGAAGACAAGGCAAAATTAGCCTTTGATGCTGCAGGTTTTGCTTCACTATGTTCAGAGTTATATTTAAAGCACCACTAATTCGGGCTTTTACTCCAAATTTTCTATCTGAAAATCCAAAAGAACAGAAATATGAGCATCTCTCCAATTCAACTTTATTGACATACTGCAACATAGTGACTACATTTAATTATATATAGTCCTTGACTTACAGTCGATCGTTTAAGCATTTCTACCCATTGTAAAAAAAACTGTGCCAGGCCTCACCAGTCACCTTATTGCATTTCGGCTACTTAGCAACCAGTTTATATTTACAACTGCTTGCCAAATGCCTTCCGGTCATGAAATTGTCATATGTAAGTGGCGGGGATGTTGGAGTGACTGCACTTACAATATGCACAATTATTTCACGGCTGCAAATTGCTCTAAATTTTCATGTGTCTTAAATGCCAAGCCACCCTCAGGCTATGTTTAGTATTTACTGAAAAATAAATACACCATGTAAGAAGCAGCTGTTTAAAAATACAAGCCAGTTGCCAGAAGCAATTCTTCTCTGGGTGGCATTCATAAAGTTTTTTTTTTGTTATTCCATTGAGGAAAGCTCTTTTAGTTTTCTTAAGGTTTATCCTAAGTTTGTAATAGTTTCCACTGCTTCTCAAAATGTTAATTTTGTTGTTGTTGGATAAGAGCAGTTAGAGCTATATAAAACCCAAAACAAAATAGAAAAAAATGTTCCCAGGTTAATTTTAATGCTTCAGAAATTTATTCCCATAATCCGTTATTCTGGTCTTCCATTTCACTCTTCTCAAAGATCCTGTATAGAATAGAAAGCTCATAAACAATGAAAGAGTAAAATGTTCAGCAAGACAACATAAAGAGTCAAAGCTGAATAAAATATCAATGGAATTAAATGAGAAAAATAAAGGTTTGTCTAGGAGATAAACAGAAAAGGAAAAACTCATAGTGTCAGGCAATACTTTCTAAGAATCCTAAAGCTTTGGTATTACAACCAAATTAAATTATCTTCCATTTTCATATACATCCTCTTTAATAAGACAAAGAGCAGAACATTTGAGCTTGCTGGTTTGGGGGAAAACAATTTTTAGGTGTCCTGCCTAACCCATTTCACAGGGCTGTTGATGTTGTGGGTAAAACAGGAGGAGAAATTATGTATGCTTGCCATGTTGAGTTCCTTATAAAGAAATCAGGGTGGGATCAAAATCAAACAAATAAATAATTCAATGTAAGCATTTTAAGAAAAAAAATACCTCTTCCAAAGGTAAGGTTATGTAAGCATCAGTGGGGTGAGTAACTGCATACAGGCAGTCCTCGGCTTACAGTCACTTAACAAGTATTCTAAATTACAACACCTTTTCAAGAAGCTACTTATAACCCATCCTCAAAGTTATGATTGCCTCACACATTTTTGGATACCTGGCAACTGGCTCATATTTTTAAACAGCTGCAGTGTCCCACAGTCACACATTTAATGACTATGTGATTTGCTTAAAGACTGCAGTGACTTGCTTTACAGCCACTGAAAATACTTATAAAATCAGGTCTGGTGACTTGACTTAGGACCTCAATAACTTATGGCCAAAACTCCAGGCTCCATTGTGGTTATAAGTCAAGGACTACCTGAAATTCTAATAAAGGCTTACATTACTTTTACCATTCCAAATCTGTTCATTCTTAATCTTTTGCCGGTAATATTTTATGGAGATCTTATTCCTTCTAAGTTGGCACAATTCAAGGAAGGATTGCACTCATGCAAATTCAGCATTTTATTCCAGCAATACTCATTACACTACAAGCAAAAACCTGGGAGTTCACTTGGGTTCAACCTACCTTTTGGGCCAATTTTAGCAAGAAGAGAATGTAGTAGCACCATTAATTCTTCATTTGGTGGGGATTCTTTGCTTGCGTTCACAAGTAATTGCAACAAAATCTGTGTCCCTCCCCGAGAAACGAGAAAACTTGTTCTTCGACTGCTGCCTAGAAATAAAATATGAGCCATTGGCTGAAATCTTAAAATAATCTGATTTTATAAGGGCATTTCTTTACATGACCAGTGCAAATTTATCTAGGAAATTATTTACTCTCTTGACATTAAAATACTAAACTTTGTATGTTTTAAAGTATCTAGAAATGTAACAATTCACATATATTAGACAAAAATTTCTAAGGTACAGTATATAACCTACAAATGATCACTTGAAATAAATACTTGCCTGCTGCCACCAATTCAATTAAGATATTTAAGATGTTTAATATAGTCTGAAAATCTCTGGTATTCTGAAATGAACAAACGGGAAGAAAGTCAAGAGCATTTATGTCATAGGCTCCATAATAATATAGATGAACACAAAAATGATCACTCTGCAGTCTTAAATAAAATTAACAGCCTGCAAAAGTTTTCTCTCATTATGATACTGAATCTTTATGCATGCAAGTTGTGTGGTTATATAAAACAATTAAATAAATGTTTTATGTGCAATATTTCGCATATCTGTTGACCACTAATTTTAATAGGGTAATAGAAAAACCTAATTTTTAGGTTCAACAATCTACAAATATACTGTGGAGCATGTAGGGCTGATCATGTTGTACCTATCTACAAATCTTTAAAGCACCAGAGGTTTTTTTCCAGCATGGCAGAGCTTCTTTAAACAATTACAGATAGGTGATATGAGTGTTTCCATCACACTCCAAAGTATTTTTTTTTTTTTGCACTTGCATCTGAGTGCAGCACACCTTTATTAATTCCAACTGTACCATGCCCTTGGCTTTCCCATGTTAAACAAACAGCCCTGCCCAAACAACAAAAGCTATCAACTGTTTTAACTGCATCTAATACACAACTAATGTTTACATTACTATAGCAAGGCTCCAATCTTTCATGCTATAGTTAGTAGCCCTGAAAAAAATAAAATAAATTACTATCCAAATGAGCAAGAAAACATGAATTTTTTACACTCTTACCTCTAAAGTTGAGAGAATAACTTCTATCCCTGTTGAACCTTTAGCAGTCATTTCTTTCCTGATTTTTTCTGAAATCAAAGTTGTATATTCTTCTATTAACTGAATAAATTGATATTTAAAAGTTAAATATAGATGACTTTAAAAAGGTGTAGAAAAGATAAGTACACAAAAGCAAAACAAACAAATTAATTTTAGAGATTGTGAATTACCTTCCAGACTTTTTTTAAGTCTGAGCTTTTTAAATATAAAATATTATACTAGCCACTCTTTATAGCAAAGGCATTCTCTGAGTACCAATCTTTTTTTTAGGCATTTTATTAATTTTCTGGTTTTACAATCTTAAGTACTTAATAAACAATAGGTTGTCTGGGTCCATTAGTAGTTCAGTGGTACATATTAACTTCCTCAATCTAGGTACAATACTACACCATCCAGTGCTTCCTCTCTTTTTCCGGTGGTATACATTTCCCATACTGGGCAAATACAATTCTTATTGCTGTTAATACATATACAATTGAATATCAGAATCTTTGTTACATTTTTCTAGTATTATATATAATATCAGTAGTGTCAATTTAGAATATCTTTTCTAACCAAAACATATCTCAATTGCATTTGCACTTAATATCCATTTGTTCAATCAATATCCTGTTTTTCCCACTTTTTTTAATTTTGATTTCCCATCAGTGTTCAAAGTGTCTCTATCGCTTATAATTTTCTCATAATAAATTATATTTGGGCAACCAAAGGCTTCCCTTGTTCAAATCCTCTTAGCATTTTCATATTTCCCCGCTCATACCAAAATATAAAATTCTACTTATAAATTGTATCTTTCTAGTTCTAATAACACTTCTATTTCTAACAATTATCTATTCTCTTAGCCATGTTCAAACATCTCTTTAATAGTATAATATCCCATCTAATGGGTCAGGACCTCTATTTTCTTCAGGCTTAATCTAGCTTTCTTCCTTTGCCAACTAACTTTCCAAGTCAATGCCTTTGAATCATCAACTAATTCTTCCTCTATTTTTCTGTATATTGTTTGGTTAAGGTATTTTTGGAAGAACACTCAAGCCCATTAATATTCATTAAACAGCCTCCCTCCTTCTCCAATTTCCCACAATTCTCCTAACAGCTTTATCTTCCATTCAATCAGTTCTTCTTCCTTATCCTCAAGAGTGTTCAGAGATCTTGACAGGTAAGATGTCTTTTCTGTTTCCGGTATTATCGCTACGTCTTCTAATTCTTTGTTTGTCTGAGTCTATTTATTAATTCCTTCCTTTAAGTCCTCCATCTTTGGATCCGCTTCCTCTAATTTTCCTTCTATTTTCTGGGTTACCAGTTCCTTCTTTAGAGTCATTTTCTGAATGTATGGATTTAGATTAGAAATTTTTTTTATCTCCTTTGTGTTATTTTTAGTCTCATCATGAGCTAAGGCAATTATTTCTTGTATTGATTTTAACATAGAAAGAATTTCTTTCTGAGCTTCGTCAACATTTTCTTGTTTATATGTCAAGCTAGGGACTTTGGAGATAAGTGTTAAAGATGGTTTTTTATCATTTAAAGCTGAGTATGGAACATCCATTTTGTTTTTGTATGTGGTCTCTATAGTCCAATCTATTTAGGGATTTAAAAAGTTTCAGTCAATTGTCATTTGAGCTCCAAGTTATCCAGCCAGCCTACCAGTCCATCCTTATGTCTCCCCTAAGCAAATATAAGCAAAATTCAAGTTTTTCTGTCCAATGAAAAACATGTCCTTTCTATCCAGAGAGAAAAAAGCAATTAAAAGTTGTTCATCAGTCAAAGGTTTATAATCCAAAATATTCCATCATCTCAATCCATAATGCATGTTTCTTCTACAGATAAATAGCTCCACAACACAGCTCTGAAAGTCAGTTAGTATTTATATTCATAGTCCACGCAGGCCAGTTTCAAAATAGTTTATTGTCTCTGCCCCACAGATAAGCAGCCCAAGAGTTTTTTTTCCCCTTTTCCTAGCTGCAGTCTTGAAAAGTGAAAGTTTCCAAGGACAACAAAAGTCTTATCTGAGTCTGGGCTTCAAGCCAAGTTTCCTTTAAACATAATAAACTGTAGTGCTGTGGTTCGCCACTAGATGTCGTTGACGCCGTCTTCCAGCTTTTTAAGTCCAAACTTATATTACAAGCTTTTCAAGTCTTTTTTCCCCTTCCCTCTCTCCTCAGGGAGGATTCTTTGCTTTGGGCAGTTTTTTCCAGGAAAAAGTCTTAAAGTCATAAAGAGAGGATAGGGTCTCACCCAGTTCCATCCACATTGCTCGAAAGTTGCTCTTTAGTGCTTATTTTCTTTGGTTGTCAGCAGCTTCTGACTGGCACATGAATGTAACCAGTCTTTTCCCCGCCGGTTTGGAAGGCTTCCTAGGATCAAACAGAAGGGCCGCCGCCCTCCCACGATCAAAGAGGGTCTCTTCCTTCTTTGTCGCCTATCCAGGGTGACTTTTGACCCTTTTTAGGATCCCCGGGGGGCGAAATTGAACCCGGAAGATGGAGTCCCATATTCCTGCGTCCGTCCTGCCGCGACATCAAACCGGATGTCCTCTGAGTAGCAATCTTTTTATAACCAGGAAATTCTACCTACCACAAGAAAAATCCCTCAAAAAGAAAATCAGCCCAAAGTCAATGTGAATGCTTAAATATTGATTGACCATTGAAAAGGAGGGGGGGATGAAAAGGGGGAAAAGGAAGAATCAAGAATAAAACAGAGAATGGAATAAGCTGGAAAAGGCACTAGCAAGAACATTTACAAATCACAACAGTGTATTACAGATTCCTGCTATATCCCTTAAGAGAAATATTCAGTTTGCACAAGAATAATAGTATATACAAAAGGAAGAAACAAAAAAGAACTTATTCCAGGCTATATGTAAACATCCCTATTTGATTCATGTCAAATGGCTTATGTTCAAAGAGAACAAAACCTGAACTGTTTTGAGTATTTCACCATAGAGAGCAGTGGAACGAAACGAAATCCTTGCTCCCTTTATTTTTCATCCTAAGGCAACAGAAATGATTGTGGTTATTGCTAAGTACCAGGATATTAATGTCCAAGGGGATGGGTTTTTGTTTTTTTTTTAAAGTTTAAACATGTAAAAAGTGGTAGTAACAATTAAACATAACTTTTGCAACTAGTGATCGATCCTAAGTGACAGCAAAGGTTTCACTTAAAAAATATGATCAACGTAACAAAAATAAAAATACATTTTTCTGGTTATTGGCTTAAGGTTTCTTCTTAATGCATGGATACAATACAGAATTAGTATTCTGTTCCAAATGTATCACCAGAATATTTATTCATAATGAAAATGGATTTTTAAAGGATCTTTTCTATTCAACTTTTTGATAAGACAAATAATCTTACAATGCATAAAACTGTGTATAATTTAAATCTGATTTTTTTTCCAATAGATTTTTACAGGGTGATGAAATCAAGGATAAAGAGTGGAATTTTTTTAGCTAATAAAATCATTAATAATCATGAGCTGATTAAAAGCCATTGATCTGAAATCATGAACAATAGATTTCAGGAGATACTAGGGCAAATCAGGACAAAAGATCATCTGTCACTTTTGCTCAGAATAAAATACTAATGCAATATATGGACAGGAATGAAACTGAAAAAAACACTGGAAACTGAAAATTGAAAACCAATGATTGCATGGGCAAAAAACATAGGGCACAATATAGAATTAGAAGATTGAGAAAGAATTTGGAATAAAAATCACAAAATAACAAAATCCACTGCATATAAGGAAAATCAATATAAAATGCTATATCGTTGGCACCTAGCCCCTGCAAGATTAGCCAAAATGTATCCAAACCAAAGCCCAAATTGTTGGAAATGTAATTACGTCAAGGTACCTTCTTTCATGCTTGGTGGCTATGCCCTGAAGTGAAAAAATATTGGATTAAAATACAAGGGTGGCTACAAGACTTAACAAAATGTCAAATCGAATTAAATCCAGAAACATTTTTCCTGGGAATACTTAAAAAGAAATTTGATAAGAAAATAAGATATCTGATCTTACATATACTAACTGCGGCAAGAATTGCATTCGCGCAATATTGGAAGGAACGCAATATACCACCAGAGGGGTTGATTATTCAGAAAATTTATGAATGTGCTGAGATGGACAAACTCACCTTAGAATTAAAAGAAAAAGATGATTCGGAATTTTATGCGGTTTGGGAAAATTGGTATAATTGGATAGACAATAGAAACAAAAATTGGAAATATACATAAGGTTATTGTGTAAATTAGGTTATTGTGGGTTAGATTGAATGTACATAGTGTATATATTGTATAGAATGTAGATCCATAGTATATAAAAATGACATAGTCTACTGAATATGTACTGTATAAAGCAAAACGTTAATAAAAATAATAATTAAAAAAAAATTGAAAACCTAGAATCCACTCTTGATTTTGACCTAAGAATTACAGAGGTATTTTTTTTGTTTTTTATGACCCTTTATCCATTTATGGGGGTGGAGTTGGAGCGACTTAATGGAGCTGAACATTTAGTGGCCAGATTCCCATCCTGATGCCTACACGGAGTTCGCAGCAGATATTTTCTCTTTGCACCCTGATAGAGAAACATCTGCCGCTGCCTAGGATGGAACTCTCAACCTTCAAGTGGGAGGCGAGCACCTTCACCTCTAGGCCACCACACTGTTCTTACAGAGGTAAAATAATAATCAATAAATGTTCTAGCCAGATCAGATCATAAAATAGGAGAAAAATAAAGTAAATACTAAACAAGGCAGGTAGTCTAGCTCTCAACTGCTTAAAACTGTGTAACTTAAGAATTTGTTTTTAACGGATTCCCACTTATCTATATCAACATTAGAAAAATTGCTTAAACATTATACAGAATGTATGTGAAAACCAATAATACACATGCATGCATACACCTCAATTAATGAGCATCTGTAATATTTACCTTGACTTTGAGTCAGGTGAAGAATTTTTGATGTGACATATCTGGCAGTGTCCGCTTCTACCAAACATTCTGCATTGATCTTCTCCAGTTGTGCCAACAGACTTAAAATCCGAGAGTTGTTAGTTACACTGGAGAAAACAAATACATTTAGGCTGTGATATGATGGGCAGTTTTCAGAGTACAGAATGAAATGTGAAGCAATTTAAAATTAGAAAAATGACCCCAAATGTTACACAGAGAAAAATAATATGCAGTTGACAGTTCTTTGCTTTTCCATATTACTGAGAAAGGGAGGAGAAAAAAAGAGCATTAAGATGTTTAACACTAAACAGAACATATAAAATCAATCTTGGCAGTTTCTTAGCAAACAGATATGCAGGGACCTTCATTTATTACTGCAAGAATAATGGTGAATCTAAATGGCCTTTTCCCCAGGCCCTTTCTTTGCATTCAATTTTTTCTATACCTGTGCAAAATACAGATGTGCTTATTTTCACTTTACTTTTCAAGAAGATTAAAAATTAACTAAAACCACAGACAACTGATTGGTAAGAAAAATATTAACATTAATTTCTACATATACACATACCTTAACTCTGTAGGAACTTTACACATTAAGGTCATGTTTCTCAAACTGGAGGTTGTGCACCAGTGGTGGGGGATGGCACACAACAGTCACAAAACAGTGCCTTTCTGTGAAGTCCACTAGATGAGTTTGATACAGAAGTATATTGAATGCAAACACCAAAACGCTATTTGAAGTCCACTGTTCTTTTTATTACTGCATTTGTTTTGGAAGGCATAGAGTTCCGTAGAAAACTCACCTAACCCTCTACAGAACGAATGGGACGAAGCTCTTGAGGCCGCAATAAAAGGGGAATTCCAAGAGTGGTGTATGCATTTACAAGCATCAAGCAGGAACCGAAAGAAAGCCTGGTTCTACTTGCTGTCTTGAGAATTCATTAAAGCCTCTTTTAGTTTGCAGGGACTTCAGACACTAACAGGCTGTCACTTTTATGTCGACAGGGTTAATAGCTGGCTATTTTCTGCAAAGATATATTTTCGTTAGTTTGAGGGGACTGGCTTTTTAACAGTTTAATCGCTTTTCTTTAGTTGGGTTATGTGATTGTTAACTGTGTAGAGCAGCGATAGGCAATTAATTTCTTCAAGGGGCCAGATGAGAAACTGGGATGCTGTGGAGGGCCGAACCAATGTAACCTTATCTGATGTCCTCAAACTCCATTACCTCTACTCCTTAGGCTGCTCCAGGCGAGGGTGATGCTATGCAGGCATAGAAAAGTGCTTTCTCTCTTCGTCACAACTGAAGGAAAGCACGGCAACTGCACACAGCTAGATCCAACTCAGTTTCTTCTCCTGCCCCCTGTGGCCTGCTTATATACATTTGATTTCTAATTTCTGATTGACCTCATGCGGGCTGGACACGGACAGCCAAAGGACTGGATGTGGCCTAGGGCAGTAAAATTCCCAGGTCTGGTGTAGAGTCTTATGGAATAGGCAGTAATTAATTGTGATATATTTGAAAATGAGTTGGATCCAAAACGATGCAGTCAGTATGAATACACATCTTCAAGATGGCAGCCGGTCCAGGCAGTGGCTTCCGGTGGCAGGCGATTTCGCTGGTCGCAGCTGTTTGCTGCCTCCCGCCTGTTTTGCGTAAAAGCCGGTTTGACAGCCAGCATCTGCTGTCAAACGGCTTGATACCTTTCCCCTGGGCATAAGGGGATCGGTGAGCTGCCCGGGGTAGGAGTTGAGTTCCCGAGTCGTCCTATATGGACGATGTAGGCGAGAAC